TCTTCAGCTTCTCTTATTTTTTTAGCTACCATCTCTGTTTCATTCAAGTGGATTCAGTCTCCTCCCAAACAGCACTCCCTAGCCAGGTTCTCTCCCCAGGAGCTGTCTCTCCACTTTCAGAAAATCTTGACACGACAGAGTAAATTCTAAGGATAACTTTAATGTGGCACTTGCAAGATATTCATTTGTATCTCCCTTTGGTGTCTGCCCTCCCACGTCTTAATTATACATATAGCATAATTTCATCTACCATCTGTACATGAAAATAACAAATGAAGTTTTACTTTTGAGTTGGGCATGATCGCTAGCCACTCAGCTCTCAGTATTAGTCATCCATGCTATAGACCAGGGCTCAGAGATTTATCCTGGTGTCTTTAAGGTTGCTGGCCTGTCTTTATATCAGAGTTCATCTTAGTCCATCTCCTTCCAATCCTCCTAGCTAAAACTTCCCACCAAAACTTCCCATTACTTTTCGGGCCCTGTCTTCCCATCGTATATACTGCTTTTCAAAGTCTGGCGTTAAGACCCATCATTTAACCAGATAGACCCATTATAAGATCTTACAAGAGTTCTCATTCTGGAAAACTGTGTTCCTCATCTTATCTGCCCATGCCGCTCCACCTGTTCTCAACTACTCTTCATATAGTTCTTCCCTTATGTAGTTTCCAGTCTCTCTCTTCTTTCTTATTTAATCATGATCTTTGGTACAAGTATGGTACCATATCCCTCCTGTCAGTACCTGCCAATCTTCAAATGACCCCATCTCTTCTGCAGCTCTTCCACTCTTTTCCTTGATTGACCCTAGAGAAACACCTATATTACCTACAGTCACTTGTTTTTTCAGCTACCATATTTATATCATTTCTCACGGATTGAGAAGTCTCTTCTTTCATCTTGTTTTCTGTACACTGTTCTGAATACATTTGCATTCTCAGTTCAGTACAGACCTTCATAGGATTCTTGCCACTGGCCACGGCTTGGATCCATCCCATTTAGACTCTTTAATATGTCACTCCATTGGTCATACTTGTTGCTTCAAATATCATTTGAGAAAAGATTCCCAGATTCCGTTAGTGAGGCACTCCCTCATTAACACCAGCTCTTATTAGCCACTTCCTCTCCACGTCCTCTCTCCTCTTTGGCTGTAATCTAGCTTAGCTCCCGTCTCTCTACTTAATACGCAGCTCTGCCCTTTTCCAGTGTTCCTCCTTTTGGCCCTGTTTAATGCCCTTCCCTACTCACACCTTATATTCGGCACCCCAGCTTAAACCCTCCATCTTCTGTTTTTATGCTTCTAGCCTCCGTCTTCTCCCCTCTCTCCATGATATTTTCATACAAATCTCCCTAGGAAATGTCTGTCACTATTAGCCATGGTAGGGTAACTTCTAAGAGCAACCAATTTTAATGGCGCACTGCAATAATCTACGATATCTTAGCTATCCATCACCCTTTCATTTACCATCTTGTCTACAGAAGGAATGGAGGCAAAGTACTTCTCTTGAGGTATATTTCCCTCAGAATCTTCACCCATTCTCCAACAATAATCTATCTTCTGGCCAAACTACCTATTCACGCCCTCTATTAAGTCAAACCTACTCTCTCTAAAGTTGGCAGCAATGGGTTTTTATCCGCATTCATTGTAAGCAGCTTCCTTATAAACTTTCCTGTCACCCAAGTCCTTTAACAGTTTCCCTCCAAATCGGTGCTTCAGGAGCTAATCTACTCCTGCCTCCTACTCAGGTCCTTGCTCCTCACACTTTCTGTGCACTTCTCGCTGCTATACGGTCTTTACATCCAAAATGTGTCCAGTTAGACCATTTTGAGCTCTGACAGGATTCCCCATTTGAGGTCTTTATTACACACCTGCTCGGCCTTCTATGCTCTCCACTATACAATATTTCAATTTCTCTGCCTCCAGTCTCTCTTTTCTTTCTTTATTCCAGCATGACTTTTGGCCCAGGAATGCTGACTTATCCTTCCAGTTGATGTCTGTCATTCCTTAGCGTCTCCTTTCTGTCTGAGGGCAACTTTAATCTTGCTTTTCTGTACCTTTCTTCCTTTTTCCCCATATTTGTCCTAGAGAAAAACCTTATCTTCAGCACCCCTTCTGCCACATGTGTAGCATTTTCCTGGTAGGCACGTTCTCCTCATTTTTGGGCACTCACTGCTCAACTTGCTTTCTTTCATCTGCCTTGATTCCCTGCACACTCTACGCATCCCTTCCTTCTCGGTTTGGTCCAGACCTGTGGGGATTGCTGCAGGTAGCCTGTGTTTCAGGCCCATCCCTCCTACCCTCTTATCTTTCACCCCACTGACCACATCATTTTCTGTAACTATTATTCCAGCAAAGCTTTCTGGAATCTCCTCATAACCCCACTTATTTAGTCATAGTCTTCCCTCTAGTGGTTGAGGCCTGACAGCTCCCACCAAATCTCCCACTCTGCCATTTGCCACACTGCATGTTCTGCGCCCTGGCCTAATTCACACGGCTCGCTCCTTTCTTAGCTTCCAGCATCCATCTTTTCTCTAATTCTGTGTTTTGGTGTTTCTTTTTCCTACAAGTTTCCTCAGTAGTTATCTCCCATTTTCAGTCAGTTCTCAGACAAGCCTGATTTCTGGGGACGGTCTTAATGTAGACCTCCAGGGCATTCCTCTCTTATTCCCTTGGCTGTCTGCCGCGCTTCATTCATGAAGCTCTCATCTTTGTTACGGCAGTGGACTCAGTATTGTTCTCTTGCCATGGAAAGGCTCTCTCCCACCCCATTCTCCTCACCCGGTGTTAGTCATCCTCTCTCACAACACTGAGCGACTGCTACCAGTGGCTTTTAATGGAGTTCACCTTAGATTCCGTGTAACCTCTTACTGTATTAACCAAACCATTTATTTGAAAATTTGCCACAAAAGTTTCAGAAACATTATCTCTATTAATATCATTCCTATTTGCTTCCTTAATCCATTTTTCCTTATCACTTACTTATATATAAAGTGTCTTCTGTCTTTACTTATACATAAAATTCAACCAGTTAGCCCAGTCTGTGATCTACCATTATTCCTGACTGTGTCTCCTTATTCCTCTTCCTCATTTGCCAGTAACCTCCATGAACCAACCTGGGGTTCATATAATCTTCTATTACTCAACATCTATCCTGCCTCTCCATTTTTATTTGATCATGACCTTTGTTCATACCGTAATCCCATTCTCTCCTTTAATTTTTTCTTTTTTAAATACCTCAACTGACGCATTCTAGGTGTGTGTTAATTTCCACTTCTTTCTTTCTTCTTCTTCCCCCTTCCTCCTGCAGAAAATCCTACCTTAATTTAAACAAGATCCTTCTTTCACCAACCCCCTATTGCACGGAAATACATTCTGTAGTTTCGATCGGCACACTCTTTCCTATATGGGGCAATCCATTCCCGTCATCTGTTTCCGGTATGCTAGAGTGAATTCATTTGCTCTCTGAATTCAGGCCTATTCATAGGATTCCTACCAGTGGCTTTAATTACCTCTAACATTTCAATCTCTTGACTGCCTCAGCTACTAGAGCCTGCTGGAAAATATCTAGTCTCCTTCCTTTGAAATATAAGGTATTTCAAGTTTGTTCCTGAACACATTCTCTCCTCAGCACCTATGCATCACCCTCTCTCTTACTGCTTCCAATTACACTGCTGCCTTTCTAGCCTCACTCCTTTAGCTCGTGCACCTTCCTCTGCTTGCCAAAGCTCTTTTGCATCTTTTGAGATCCAATTAAACTGTACATCCTTTCAAATTTTTTATGATTTTCCAAGGCTGTTAATCCTGCACTCCACATAGCACTCTATTAAAACTTACATTAAAGAACCTATGGTACTAAATTGTAATGTCACAGGTATATATAGGTAGATCTCTCACACACACTGTTATTCAACTCCTAGACAATCAGCTGTGGGGAAAAAGGTCATGTCTTAGTCGTCTTTTTATCTAAGGATCTGGCATATTCATTTATACCTTTACATTATATAAATGTATTGACATTTTCTACATTTTTGGATGGAGGGAGTTTAAAGTTAAGACTGAACAAATGAAAGTCGCACTACCCGACCTGTCATATATGGTCTTTACATCTGAGTCTATTCTTTCCTGTCCTTGCCTATTCCCCAAGTAACTTTCTAACTCCACAGTTTCATATATATATATATATATATATATATATACACACACACATATGAAATTTTTTAAACCTACAAGCCTTTTCCAGACCATGGACTAGACCCTTAATGTGCCTTTTCTTCATCCATGGTTAATAAATCCTCTCCTTCAGACAGTTCAGAAAATCCTGTCTTCTTCATGAAGACTTCATTTTCCTTCATTTCTTCCACTGATTATCTCAAAACATATAATTACCCACTTGCTTTCCCATTGTACAACACTGACTTCACCAATATTAGAACTTCATTACTGACCTACTCATTAAAGGTTGAAAGTTGACATAAAGCAAGTTCATTCTGGTGATCTCTGAACCCACTTTTGGTCCACAGTCTACAGATATAATATCTGTAAAGGTATCGAGACTGTGATATACTTAGTATTAATTTAATGATCTGTGTGTTTTACCATCCATATTTTATGCTTTGTTTGTCAGCTCCTAAAGTAGTGGTTCTTAACGTGTTGACAGGCATGACAAAAAGCCCCTTAAAAAGTGTCTCCCCTGCTGCTTTCCTGATCTGCAGTCAGATGCTCTACCACTGAGCCATACCCCCTGCTTTCCTTATATGAACATAAAAACAGAGTTTTGCCCATGTTGTCTTTTCCGTACTGTTCTAGCTCGCAGCAGGGAACAGACTGTAAAGTCCAGCGCACCGGCTTCTTTTGAGAACTGTGACCCTAGAAAACAGCCTACATACGCGTCACTTGCTAATTCAGAACACAGAGCCAAGGGCAGATGGTGCTTCCTAAGTTACTGATGGAAACCGTGCGCTTGCGCTGCCCATTGATGCAGGCTCGCCTGCTCTGTCTCCTCCAGCTGCAGGTACCTTCAGCTGCACCATGAAATTCACTGTCCGGGACTGCGACCCTGACACGGGGGTTCCAGCTGAGGAGGGGTATGACGATGAGTACGTGGTGAGTCTCCCCTGCAGAGAGACTCACTTTGACCCCTTGCACCACTGAGTGACTTCTGTCTGGAGAGAACATTTTCATCTGACATGAACTTATGGGATTGTATTCTTCTCAAACACATTACAGCTGAGGAGGACCTGGGCTAATCCTCCTGTCGTGGGAGCGCATCATGCCAAAGAGAATTGGGATTTACCACTCAGTACTGATTAAAGCAAAACTCACCCTTTTTAATGTTTTTATAATAGGGATAACTAAGAGATGAAAATAATTATATGATTTTCATTGAGATCAGTTTTATTTAACGTATTGGGGGTAGGGGTTTTTTGTTGTTGTTCAGCAGCTTTTAGTTTGCTTATAATGTAGCCACATCATGGACTGAAAAGCCTTCACAGACTGCAGGGAAAAGTTTTAGAAATATCTACCTGTTGGTGAATGCGAAGTTCAGAAGGCCCTGTACGGCTTGAACTCTGCAGTTACGTGTGGCAATGTGACTGCTTTGTACCTACACCAGGGCTACAGACGTTGATCTGAATATGGCTCTTGCCAGATGACCTGTTTTCTTGCTTTCCTTTGCTAGGGCCTACCTTGTTAGACTTATCCAGACTACAGAACTTCAAACTAGCTTGGCAGTAGAGTTTTTCCTAGGCTCCTGCAAAGGCTATAACACAGGATGATAAAACCAAATGAACTAACCTCTTCTACCTTTGTACTGAACTGAGAGGACTCATTTTCTGACGCCTGTTTGTTAACCCACTAGCTAGAAGATCTTGAAGTGACTGTGTCTGACCACATTCAGAAGGTAATGAAGCCTAACTTTGCTGCTGCCTGGGAAGAGGTAGGCGACACCTTTGAGAAAGAGGAGACCTTTGCCCTCAGTTCTACCAAAACTCTTGAAGGTGAGAACAATTTTGCTATCAGTATATTGCCTGATAGCAGTCTAACACCTAATAGGCATATTTGTTATTCCAAAAGGACTCCCTTTTCTTTAAAAGCTCCGTAAACGATTTCACTTTAAAAGGCCAGAACGCTGTCTTCATCATCTAACAGAGTCAACCCATTTCCAGTCCAGTAGCCTCCCTCCACACACCACCACCAACCCTGTGCACCCCCAGCTCCCAGCGCCAACTAGTGCACAGGCAGATCCCTACGCTGACCTTTTCTCATACGGTTGCATCAATCTTCTCAACACAGAAGCTGTCAACAACATCATCACATTTCTGGGCATGCAGCCATGTGAGAGGTCAGACAAAGTACCTGAGAACAAGAATTCCCATTCCCTCTATCTGGCAGGTAAGAAACTTTCACCAGATTTCTCCTGTATTTTGTTGCAAAATTTGATAGGAAGGGATGTGCATGGGCATCTCATGCCCTGCTACTGTCCCATTATCCCATTATATGAGTTACAACTTGAAGCCCCATCAAAATGAATAATTTGTTTCAGCTGTTTAATTGGCATGCTATTCTTAGATGGTTCTTTTTAAGATGTATATTTGGCCCAAGACACTTAAATCTCTTCTACAGATACCAGTGCCCCCCGCTTAAGTACTCCATATCAATATTATTGAATACCTTCTATGTACCTGGTATTATGAGAATATAAAAGATTATTTAGAATTTGTATGTAGGATTCAATTCCCACCATAAGCACAAATCTCTAGAAAAGCTGAACTAAAATAATAGAAAGGAAATGCAGGCAGAGCACGATCAATTTCATTATTCAGAGCTTGTTTTGAGTTCTTAACATGGTTTTCCTCACTTTTTTCCTCTCAGGTGTATACAGAGGTGGCTATGATTTATTGGTGAGGTCCAGGCTGGCCTTAGCAGATGGGGTGACCATGCAGGTGACTGTCAGAAGCAAAGAGGGAACACCTGTAGATGTTATCTTGGCTTCTGTTGGATAAGTTTTTACTGGGTGAGATGAATGTACCCTTCACTGTCAGTGGGCTTTCAGGCTATTGGCATGAATTTCCCAGAATCATACTTTCAAAAATGAATGACTTCAGAAAAGCAAATTAAATGTTTGGCCCTGAGCCAGCAGATCAAGCAGATGTCTGTCCTTGTGCATGTCTTTTTGTTGTTCCTTTTCCTTTGTATTACACTTGGTCAGCTTTGGTATTGGTAGTACAGCTTTGGGTGATCTTGAAAATCAAATACTGTCCTATGCCCCAGCTGCTTAACTTCATTAAGTTCTTTAATTCACTGTGTATCTGAAAGCTCCTGGCAGTGTTGGAAAGCTTTTATCCCAGAGGGGTGGTGGGGGAGCGGGAGCCAGAGTCCACTTTTGTCAAAATTCATTTTTATTAATAGAAAATAAACACTTATTCCAGTTGTTATACTTGAAGTTGCTAATAAAAAAAAAAGAATTTAAAATCACCGCTTAATAATCCTGTTTTAACTAAGACAATGAAACTGTGGCTTAAAAAAAAAAAGTATTCAGCACCATTTGCTCATAGAACTTTCAGACTTTGTTCTTAAAGTTTCTAGAACTTTCCCGTCTGTAAAGTACAGGAATTGCTGCGCTACATGAGGAACCCTCTCTGGGACAACCAACGAGAAGTTAAGCAATCATTATATATTCAGCCTGGTAACTTGGACTGTACAACGATCCCCTCCTCTCCACTCTGGCTCAGGAGGGACATGCTTCTAAGCACTGAGGTATGACGAGTCCGACTGTTATTAGCTGGAAAGACCAGTTCTAACAGCAAATAACAGTAAATCTCTGGCACAGAGACTACTGTCCTTAATGTTCTGTGATTTTAGGAAATTCTGTAAATAGCTCGGCTTTACTTCAATTTACTCAGAAATGAAACATGTTTAATAAGGTTAAACTACTCTGCTAGAGTAAGTGTCTGCTGGTTTAGTGTCCTTTTAAAATACATACATAATACGTGTAGGTAAATCATAGTCTTAAAGTATACTTAGAATACTGCGTTATTGAAACCAAAGTCTAACAAAATGACTACAGTTAGAAGCAGCTAATGGAACTAAATCCAAAGTTATGACAAGGGAGACTCATTCTCACTTGAAGCTGTGTCACTTAGAGAATTAAAGCCATTCAAGGCGAGGTGAAGGTGGCACCTTTAGATAATTCCAACCAGGGCCAGAAATTAGCATTCCTAAATATTTCAGAAAAGTCCATAGAAGTGTTTCAAAGACTTTTATGCAAAAGAATGTCTGTCTGTCTGTCTTTCTGCATCAGTGAGTAGTAGTGCCCATCAGAATTTCCTAATAACACAAAGGCAAGTCCATACACTTGATCAGATGTCAAAGGAATGGGAGGTGGACTATCAGGTCACCCTTAGAGCTTCTGCTGGCTTTTTACTATATGCTGTTCACCAGTGTGGGTCAGGCGGACTTTCGTGAGAGAATAGTGTTTGGTGGCCAGGACCTCTTTTGGGCGTTTCTTGCTAAGTGGAATACACAACAGATAAGGGAATAGGGGAGGTAATACAGGGAAGCTACTCTTTCCAGCTCAGAAGGAGTTGATGAAGCCCATATATGCATTCAAGAAGCCCATGGGATCCTCTAGCTGTGGATAGTGGCTAATGTGGTCATCCAGAATCGACACTGTGGACCGCGGCAGCGTTTTCCTAGTGGAAGAGAACAGCATGTAGGTGAACTTGAGGCTGGAGGGAGGGGGAGGGAGGTAAGCCAGTGGGCAGCCCTAGTAAACGCCCCTGTGGACATACCACACTGGAAGGAACCAACAAAGAGCTTATTCACCTTCTACTTTGGAATTATATCTATCTTAGGCAGGTAAACTTGCCAATTCCATTTATGATGTATACAGACTAGTTTTTAAATGCTCATATTCCAACAGACAACAACGTGAAAATATAACACATATACAACACACGTCAGAGCGGGATGACTTCCAGCTCCTTGGAGAAGTGGGCCATTCAGCAATTCACTGTCCAAGTAAAGATAACAAAAGACCTTGCTTAACCTGAGGAGATGAGAGAGGGTATTTTTGTTTAAAATTAAATGTAAGCTATTTACTACTGGGTTGTTTCTACTAGGCCATGTGAAGGTATGGAACATTTTTATGTGACATAATCAAGCTCTCATATTCCGACACCTTCCAAATAAATACCTAGAGAGGAGAACAACCTGCGAAGGCACTTTCCCACAGTTCATTCTCCCCATGTAGTCTCCCCAGCTGAGGCCAATGAGCTGGCTTTACAATCAGACTAAAGCAAACGCTGCTTAAAATATATCCACTTCCATTCCTTGGTTCACGTGATAGCTGTTTCTTACCTGTACATCTCGGAACATGTAGTAACCATGATAGTGAAAACAGACTGTATAAACCAAGAGAATGTATAACTGAATTTCTTGATCTTTACATTATGTGAGAGTAAGATTCCCCATTTCATCCTCTATTATGTGTTTCCTAGATGAACAGCCAGTGAGGTCAGAGACAGAGGCTAGATTGCCTCAACAGACAATCCTGTTCACCACTGTCAGGATGAGGTACTAAGAAAACAAAGACCCCTGAGGGAGACTCACCTGTACAGCTCCAAAAACTCTGGATAGGGATTCACCGGATCCAGTGGCCCATAGATAAAATGAACTAGGAAAGGGAAGAGGAATGAATTATTAACAGCGCTCACATCCATTTTTCTATTCCCACTGTAAAATTAACTACCCCTCAAAAACAAAATTTTTTTTCTTTAAATTTTTTTTATAATAGAAAACCTAGCTTCTTTCAATAAGTAGGTTACAAGGAACATATGGGAACAAGCCTAAAAATCAGTCCATTTGAGACCTTTTCTCCTGTAAACAACCATTCAGTCCCTTCATCTCTTCTGTGCCCTGGACCAAAAGGAATAAGCCCCACTTCCAACGTTCCATGTTTATAAATCCAGAAGACTGTCATTCTTTAAGTCTCTCTCTTCAGTTACAGTTGACCCTTGACATTTGAAATCAACCAGTGATATCCTGAGCACTAATTACTCTGTGTGAGATAGTGCACTGAATTTCTTTTTTAAATCCGTAAGAATGAAGAGACAAATAAATAAGAAGAGACCACCTATAGCCTCTTTATTAGTAATCTAAACAGCCTGCTGTCCCAGCAGTTCAGCATTGAATGTGGCAGCTACTGACAATGCACAGCACAGAAACTGGTCTAACTCACTCCTGACAGAGACACCAACTCCCTTTGCAACAGGATCTCAATGTATTTTTATATACTTCTCTTCAACACATGTCACTGGCTGCCAGATTAAATAAAGGATGGCCAGTTACATCTGAACTTCAGATAATGACTTTTTTTTTTTTTTAGCATATCTCAAATACTGCATAGCATATACTTATCCTAAATAGGTGTTTGTTGTTTATCTGAAATTCAAATTTAGCTAGTTATCTTGTATCTTTGTTTGCTAAGTCCAGCAGTTATTTAACCCGTAGTCCCTCAGTTTTCCTATCAAGAGGTAATATAGAGGGACTTCTCTGGTGGCGCAGTGGTTAAGAATCCGCCTGCCAATGCAGGGGACACGGGTTGGAGCCCTGGTGCAGGAAGATCCCACATGCTGCAGAGCAACTAAGCCTGTGCGCCACAACTAGTGAGCCTGCGCTCTAGAGCCCGCAAGCCACAACTACTGAGCCCTTGTGCCACAACTACTGAAGCCTGCATGCCTAGAGCCCATGCTCTGCAACGAGAAGCCACCACAATGAGAAGCCCGTGCGCTGCAACTAAGACCCAACGCAGCCCAAGATAAACTTTATTTTAAAAAAGAGGTAATATAGAAATACTCACTGGGAATAGATACAGAGGCAAGAGCTCCCACCCAGCGTCTTCTAAACTTCTTCCTTTGATTGATGTACTGCAAGAGACTATAGGACAGATAAGTCAGCAAGAGTAAAACAAGAAACTTTTTTTTGCTATGGGGATGCAAAGGCCTGACAGGAACCACAAGGAACACAACCTACTGAACACGATCAATATGTTTTCTTAATCCAGAAGTAACTTGGCATTCCTGGGAATGGCCCACTTAATTTACCCGTTTCCGTTACCCTCTAGAGTTAACCACCATGTAGCTATGGCAGTGATCACGCCTACTATCGATGTTAGAATTAATGGTTCTTTGTGTTTATGAAGCAGGGAATGAAATCTAGGAAGGCTGGAAGTTACTTTGGATTACATGTGACTAAAGTCTGGGTCTAGAGTTCTGATTTTGGCTTCCCCACTAACAAGCTCTGTGACTCAAAAGTTGTTGGTAACACACACATCTTTCCTCATCTTCAAGAGACTGAACTACATGATCTCTAAATTGGCATCTACTTCTAAAATTCTGTGTAGAAGTTCATGAGCACAAAGCTTCAACCTCTGCATTTCATCTGACCACAGATAAAATGGAGGCAGAGTCCTCATCCTACAGTGTAAGATGTCACAGCTACATTTTAGAACTCAAATTCATGTATTCTAATTATTCTGCCTGCCAACTCCAGGACAATTATTTTTGTGAACTTCCAATATCACCTCTTAGAAATGGTATTTAGTTTCTTGAAAGCACAAGGGAATTTTACAAGAGGGCTTTGTTTTTCAGTTTTTTTATATTAAAATGAATCTTCAAGGGTCCCATTCCTTAGGGAGGAATGGCTCCCTCGACCTCACAGTTCCCAGCAGAGCCACCAGTTAATACACTGGAAGCTACACTGACCCAGCTGGCAAAGAGACAGGGCCTTACCCCAAGTAGTTCTGGATACACTATCTCTAGGTCCCTCTGCGAAAGTGGCTACATTCTCATTTGAACCAAGGCATGGGGATTCTTTGTACAAGACAGAGAAACCTCCCTTCTCAGTCCCTGTTGCTACAGAAAAGATATGAAAAAGGAAACAATCTGTACTTTGAGAGAGGCATTAAGCACCTTTCAGAATTATGATTAGACATTTTGAAACATTTACTATTGACAAAAGGTCCAAAGACGATTTGCCAGTCAGTCAGTTACAGACTAAATTAGCATTAGAATTTGCAGCTGTTTATCCAAACTTATGGTGCCAAATGGCTTAGGCTCAGAGCTCACTCTATTCTCAATTTCTTTCTTCTTAGAAAGTACAGAGCATGACTTTTTGGTTTGCCTCATAGGTCATAACCACTCTCCTTGTGGTTATGAAAGCAAGGAACAGAACACACAATCCCACATCTTTCTCCACTTCCCAAAAGAAGTGTCTCTGGAAACCAAAGCAAAGGGTTATTTCTTACCTGTCAATAACCAAGTTCCCGTCATTGTTGCGTATCCCTGCCCACATGTCCCACAGTTCACTCTCAGAGGGTCGGGTGTATGGCCCAAAGACCGGGGTGAGACTGAACGAGTCCAAAAAAGCAGAAAGGTAAGTGTGAGAAGAACTCAGTACATCAAGTATGATTGGAACCTCAGGTCATGTATGTCTGACCCTTGACTGGTTTATGAATTCCTTCTACTACTTGCCTGGCAGTGGTCAACACCTTTACTTTAAAGGGTCAGACCCTAAGATTTGGCCCAGAACTTTAATGGCAGCAACTTTTCACTACATTGCTCCCATGCTGAAGTGAATCAGTGTTTGACAATGACTTACCCTCGAGAGAATACGAAGAAGTTCATCAGTCGCGTGAGGATGGGTGACAGCATGCCTCCATCTTTGAGAAGCTATAGGTGTAAAAGTAAAAATCAAGAGTCCAAAGAAACAAAACAACTATCCAGGATAAAAGGTTTTATACTAGGAACTAAAAAAGGACTTTAGCCAAATCTACTGGCTTTTAGTTTCTTGTTTTGCTTACCCACATTCTTCTCCCATAGAAAACAAACCTATTTCTAATTCCCTTTAAGATTACATTCTACGCTTCCCTAAATCCCGAAGACTTTTAACTGATATATTCAACTTTAGACTAGGATCCCAATTTGTTCAAACATCATGCTAAAGACACAACTCTTTATTTAGATAGCTATACTTCTCCAAATATTTGTTGCCCTCATTCTCAGAAATAAGCCTTTATTTATCTATGGGTCACTTCTACTGCTTTATTTTTCCTTTATTAAGGAAAAAATTAACTTCATTAACATGAGTTCATGATGAAACAGATTTTAACTACAGCCCTTGAGAGCAGGTATGGCCGTTATAAAGATACCAGCATTATTTATATCAGTATAAACCTTAAAAACTAAAGATCTAGTCAGTGGAGTAACCAACCTTTTGGAGAAGGAGAGGACGGTGAGTCTCAGGAAATATACCTGTAGGAGAAGAGACTTAGGGTAGTTATTTACCAACAATCTTAGGCCAAACATAGGCCCATTATCGGAGACAATTCACCCTATTAGTCACGTTGAGGGCTTCTACTGCCAAAAACCAAACTACCAATAAAAACTTAGTACTGTCATTTATTATTTATCCAGGGAATTCTGTGTTTACCAGGTCAAACTCTATCCCACTGGGATCACTTTCCCCACTGTAGAAAGAAGGGAAAAATATGTCATGGTCATCCACACTGCTGATGACTAGACTCTGGCTCCCCTTAGCGTTTCCACCCGTTCCTCAGAATACATAATGTTGTTAACTATTCGGGCTGCAAAGGAAACCAGAGATTTTTCAGAAGTGTAGATGCTTCAAAACACCTAGAGCTTTTCCGTTTCCATTTTTTTCCAGAGTCAATGGGAGAAAGCCATGAGCATTACTGATAAAGGGACAAACAGACTCCTCTCCCAATCTGCCCTTAAGGTATTCTAAGGTATTCAGGGGACACCTGGATATTCATGGATTTACAAGCCAGGCTCAATGGCAGGCAAAGAACGAGAAACATCTCCAAAAGGTCTAATCAAGGGCTCACTAATTTCCGACTGAAACTTGGCACTGCTGTGAATTGAGAGTTTATGACACAAACCACAGCAGTAGTAGAAGCACCTGTGGCTTCATCTCAAATGTCTGCAGAACCCACTGCAGTTGTTGCAGAGATTGCGAAATATCATCTACACTCCCCGCCAGTTCTAGTCACAGTTGTTACCAGACACACCACAAGATCTTGCTGGAAAATGCATTAAATACATTTTAAAAAGCACATCTTACTATAACACAGCTTTTTATTAACTTATGTCAAGATAATCAGTTTCCTTTGTAATCTTACTTTATTTTCTATATTTAAAAATATTACTCTGAGAAAGCGTCAGTAAATCTCATCAGGCCACAAAGTGGTTCATGGCATGAAAGAGGTAAAGATCCACTACTTTGCTTGGGTCTGTTTGCAGTACCATCAGGTTACCATTTAGACGTCACTGCCGTATCTAAATGTGGCCCTCTAGGCTACACCTCACTTTCCACCCGCCTCCAAGGCAGTTACCTCCATTCGACAGACAGAGACTCTTGATGGTAAGCCGACCAGATCGATTCTGCTTGAACCTAGAGATGGGGAGGGAAACACATAGCTTACTGAGCAGCTGAAGACAAACTCCCAAGAGGGAAAAGGGCCAGAAAGAACCCAGAAAAATGTACTTCTCTCATCTTAAACGAGTGAAACCTGTGAACTGTACACAAGTCATGGCTTCACTGACCTATAGAGCAGCTCCTGAGCAACGATATCCCCATAGTCGTGAGACAACAGGTTGATCCTACGGTTCTGGAGCCCCAGATGCCGCAAAAGAGCTTCCACGATGCTGGCCTGCTCGAATATGGAATAGTGATGTGGTCTCTAGGGAAAGGAGAGCCCAGATACACAGGGTGAAGTCAAGGGTGCAGGTGTGTCTGCCAGCCTGACCCCTCCATCCTTGCCTACCCCCATCCCGCAACACTGCCCCATCTAGATGCTGCTTACCGGTTTGTCACTGAAGCCAAAGCCTAGGAAATCAAGGGCAATCACTCGATGAAACCTGAGGGTCAGACCTTCCCAAATCTACAAGAAGGAAAGGGATGGTTTGGTCTTTCTAATCCTGCCCCTCCTCTTCTCCAACCTACAGCAGCAAAGGAGTTTCATCCCTATCTCAGCTTAATAAACAGACTTCGATAAAGGGAAAATCTCATGAAACCACCACAGGCCCACAAATGATCCTCCTGAAAAGTGCTTTATTCCTTATAATTAATCTCCATTGAGGGAGGAACTCCCAACATTTTTTAACTTGGCAATGATCGCTCCCAGATTGCCAAAGACTTTTTTACTCCCTTACAGTAAATGAGCAACAGTTCTACATTTAATCCTATTTTATTAAGCAACTCAAATATGCAAGTCTCCCAGTGCTGACAACAAAATCCTCGATTTTGGATTTTTAAAGGCATAGAAGGATCCAGAAGTCTGATTTCCTTACCTTGTACCAGTCATAGCTGGATGTTGGAAAGCCGTGTAAAAGCACAACTATCTCTGGACTTCCAACCACACCCACAGAGTCTGGGAAGAGAGAGATCAGTTAGGCCGATGCCCTAAGAAAATAACCTTGAAGATATGAAAAATCTAAATAATCTGGTATAAAGGACAAGAAACCTTGACCAAATTAATGAAATTAAAATAATAGATTTTTTTTAAAATGCAAGCTTACTGCTTTACGTAAGAATAGGCATTTGATATCTGTTTTCTTTTATTCTGTATATTTAAAAATTGTAAATATAGCCAATATTTTATAACTTTAAATGGAGTATAATCTATTAAAATATTGAATCACTAATGTTCTACACCTGAACTAATATAATATTGTAGATCAACTATACTTCAATTTTTTATAAACGTAAATAGCTCACTTTATATGAAAATACTTGACGGCAGACTGCTTACTTTCACCTAGATTTTTAAGAAGTATTTCCTCATTTCTCCCTTTATTCTGTATCATTAATATGTAAATTGCTTTTCCACAGTAAAAAGTAAAGCTTCACAGTTAAAAGTATACAGTCACAACTTAATAACTACAAGTTCTTTGTACCTTATTATTAATGGCCTCACAAAAATTCCCTTCCTCAACCCAGTGAGTGCCTCAGTTTATGCCATTTGTCCAACAATTTTATTTCCCGCAGAGGAGACTCAACTGAATATTAAAAGCATAATGCTCAACTATTGCAAAATTCTAGCAACTATAAGAAAAGGCTAATAAACATGAACATTTTTTAATGTATAAACATCTTTTAAATTAGCCAAATATTTAAACAGTAAGTAGCCTTGCTAATAAAAAATAGTATTAGATTAAAACTGATAGATTCATATACTGCCACTGGCATGAGAATTTGATAATAAGGTTTACAAAAATAATTTAGTTAGAAGCAATGAAAAATTGTATATACTTTAGCCTAGGAGTCTTATTCTTGAGAATCCATGCAAATAAATCATTTCATTTACATGAAGTACTATTTGAAAAAATAAGGAAAAAATTAACACATACATGGAGATTTCCCTTTAACATTATTTAAAACATTGGAAAACTAGAAACAACCTAAGTGACCAACATAAAGAAAATTATATACTTACTTTTAGTTGAATATAGCGAATGAGAGGAGGTCAGGAGCAATAATGAAAAACGGTTTATGACAAACATTTTTCGTTATTGCTCTTGACCCCCGCCCAAAAGCAATCTTTTCCAATCTTGTTTCTCATTCCCTTTACCTATAAAATGAGGTGAACAGCACCTACCTCCAAGTACTGTTGTAAAGATTAAACGAAATTATGAAGGTTGAAAACATAATTCAATGCCTAGCATAAGGTAATTGGTAAGTAGCAGTCATAATAATTATTAGAAAATTAACTTAGACAAAGGTATAAGACTTAAATCACATTTAGTTATACATATAACAAATAATCTTTATAGAAACAATAAAATGAAATCAGGGATGAGGGGAACAGAACCAATGGCAGCTGTATCTATGGATGTTGTTTATATTATCTGACACTAGGGGCGCTCACAAAAGAAAGCCAGTACTATCTATCACTGCAAATCAGACCACAAAGTAAATTATACTGGTCACATATACACTACCAAATGTAAAATAGATAGCTAGTGGGAAGCAGCCGCATAGCTGGGAGATCAGCTCGGTGCTTTGTGACCACCTAGAGGGGTGGGATAGGGAGGGTGGGAGGGAGACCAAGAGGGAGGAGATAATGGGGATATATGTATACGTATAGCTGATTCACTTTGTTATACAGCAGAAACTCACACACCACTGTAAAGCAATTATACTCCAATAAAGATGTTAAAAATAAAGTCAAAATCAGAAAAAATAAATAAATTATACTAACAAGTCAGTCTATGGACGTTGGAATCTCCATTCCACCACCCTCACCCTCCCAGCAATTTTCTTTGAGTTTCCCTGCTATCAAATTAATGAGGGGAATTAGTCCATTCCTTCAAATGGACACTACACAGAAAAAGAGGGTTTTCCCCTCCATCACTGAGGGGCAACAGAGACCAATGGACGCAAAATAAGTACCTCAGAGGGACCCACGGGACCTCTACGTGCAGAGCGTTTCAAGAGCCCTGTTCTTACCTTGGTAGAAGATACGCAGTCCCTTGTAGGTAAAAAATTTGCCTGATGACTTCCATGAGTGAAGAGCAGGGGAAAGCTGGGGGGGCGGGATGTGCAGATAGGCTGCAAGCAGGGGCACAGCCAACAGCCCCACCTGGACCCACCACTCCCTCATCCTGTAGGGAAATCAGAAACCCGGGGTAAGCAGTTGGGTGACATTGTACACGATTCTAACACAAGCCCCAAACTGGTAAAACAGGGTGGGGAATTTCTGTACCATGTGGGGACTACCCTGTCCTCCATGTCAACCATGGCAGAAAATTTACCAAGAATGTAAGTGTGCTCTGCCTGCTATGGCAATCACCATATTTGCTCATCATTCTAATTTTAAGGAAAAAAATATACTATTTTCATATGTAATCTTCCCCCTCAACTTCATCCCACTTTAACCCCACAGCCCCTCCCCTTGTGCTCTTCCCAAGACCTGCTGTAGAGGTTTTATATAAAGTAAAAGGAAGATAAATTACTTAAGTAACTTCATTGTCTTTTATCAAGGCTTCCTGGGGGGAGGGAGGGTTCCCTTCATATTTACTCTAAAAGCTCTACCATCTACCCACCAGCCCCGCACCGGTAAAATGTTTTACATATATATATATTTTTTTTTAAACTAATGTTTGTTTAAAAAAAAAAAAAAGTAGGAACATCACATGTCCTAAAGCAGAGAGCTGCTCTTGATTTTCTAATATTTATCAACCCTCTGACTCCAGTGAAGCCCAGTTTGCTACTACTATCTGGATTTGTGCTGAGAAACTGCTCAGGGTAAAGAGCCTGTGAAAGTAAGAAGATAGGTGCCCTGTATATTCCAACGTAAGCAGCTTTATCATGACCCTGAATATCTAATCTCTTGAGAGGTCAGGGCAGCAGATTATATTTCTGCTTTTCTTAGCAGACTCTTGAGGAAGCTCCCCCATTTATTTAATTTCTTAGGATGCCCCTTCCTTCCCATCCCCCCCAAAAGAGGGGCAGAGCATCTGAGAACTGATTTCGTTTTGGGGAGGAAAGCACTGATTTGCACACCCAACTTTCCCATGCCCAGGACTTCGAAGGTCCAGATCAATTCATCCACAATGACAAGAAGTGCTAAACAGGAATTAGAAAGAGTTCCCTCTGTTTCTAGCTTATGACTCCTGATGGCCACCAGAGAAAGAACCATCAGTAGAATGGAAATTCTCTTAAAAACAGCCAGAATGGAAATACCGTCTAAAACTAAAGTAAGAATTGTCAAGAACACAGAACTATAAATAAGGGGAATTAATTGTGAAAGCCCTGGTGGAAATGTCTTTGTGCCTGTATCCTTCTACCATATTACCTGTAATCTGGCCACAATCTCTAACAAACTAATCCAACTCACAAGATATTTATTTATTTTAGAGTTTTTTTCAAAAAATAAGAGCCTGTAGTTTCACATCCACAGAGAATCTCAGCTCTTTTGACTATTTTTAAGGTGTCACCAGGGCGGTCTTTTTTTTTTCTTCCCCCCTCTGAAGTGCATATCCATAAAACAGACCCAGTGATTTGGTTCTACCTTCCAAGGTAGAAAGATTAAAGATTAAGAAATGATTAGAAAAAATGCCCGGAACATGACCATTATATCACAATATCCACCCCCCACAGTAGTAGTAGGTTACATCCCATTATCTCCTGAAAAGGTGAGATGACTAAAAGTATCAGGTTTAGATGATCATTTCTAAGCGCTACCTGTCCTGGACTTAAGCTTATACATTTTCACCTGCGCATTTCATCACTCCTGATCCCCATACTTCTCATCTCATTCATTGACGGGTTCCAGCAGCCGAGTCTCTGCAGTGACTCAGCAGAGAGCCGGGGAGGGGATACGAGAGGAGCTGAGCAGGAGAGGCTCCCCCGCCCCGCCGCCGCCCACCATGCGGGGCGGTGAGGGGAAGGACGGACACTCTCCGCTCGGGACACCCTCACCCCGCACCTCTTCCTTCTCTTTTACGCTAAGAAAGCGAAGAGGCAACCCCTCAGAAAGCCGCTTTCTGTCTTAATTACTTCAGTAAAAATGCCCCCAACAACATTTTAGGATTTTTAGTACGTAAGCAATCAGGCAGTCAGTAGGCAAAATAGATTAAACATTTTTTGACCCAAATCTCCATTCTTTGATGAGCCAAGAATCAAGAGTACAAATTCAGCAAACCCCAGTAACAAACCTTCCAGAAATTAATGAACCTTTCCGAGCCTTTATTTCTTCATCTTGTAAATAGGAAAAATACACACATTTAATACCACCAAACCTGCCCACTTCACAGCATCGTGGTGAGACTATGAACTATTTTGTAAACCAATGCAAATAATTCACGTGTAATATTATGAGTTTGGTCACATCATTCTCACTTGGCTTCCTGTTACTGAAATCTCAAAAATACTTACGCCTCGGTGATAAGACACTGCCAGTTCTAGTCACACCTATGCGGTAACTCACGCCACGGCGACACCAGGGTCTTCAAATCCTAAATCACCGCAGGGCAATACCGGGGTCTCAAAATTCTAAATCGCGCCAGGGCGATGCAGGGGTCTAGAAACCCTAAATCGTGTCAGGGTGATATTCGGATGTTAAAATCCTAATTCACGCCAAGGCAAAACCCAGATCTAGAAACCCTAAACCGCGCCAAGGCGATGCTGGGATATAAAAACCCTAATCGCGCCAAGGCGTTACCGGGGTTTAAAAATCTTAAATCGCGTCAAAGTGAAACCGGGTCTAGAAACACTAGTTCACACCTAGGGGGTACTGGGATCTAAAAATCCTCAATCGCGCAAGGGTGACACCAGGATCTAAAAACCGTCAATCGCACCAAGGCGATGCCGGGGTCTAAAAATCCTCAATCATGCCAGGATGATGCCGAGGTCTAAAAAAAATTGTAAACCATATCAGAGTAATACCAGGGTCTAAAAATCCTAAGTCACTCCAGGGCGCTACCAGGGTCTAGAAATTCTAAACCGCACAGGGTGACGCCAGGGTCTAGAAATTCTAAATTGCATCAGAGAGATACCAGGGTCTAGAAATCCTAAATCAGGGAGATCAGGCGTTCTGAACATTCTACTGTGTGCAGGCGAGACATCCTCTTCCAAGCAGGTAGAACGGGCTCAGAGGACGGGAATGCATGCCCCTCACCCTCCGGAGATTTTCCCTCTACTGCGGGAGTCGCGCTCTGGCAGCCCCAGCTCGGACGAACAAAGTCCCACCCGCTGGCCCGCACCCCATTTGGGGACGACGGCTGCAAGCCAGTCACACACGCTCCCCCCACCCCCGCTCCCACCACGCACCCACCTGCGGAGGCGATCTCGGCGCACCATGGTGGCGTCTTATCCCATGCCGCCTGCACACCGGCCCTGAGCAAAGGGCGCGCCGCAGCGCCCGCAGCGGTGCAGGGTCGGCCGGCAGCTGGGCGCAGCCCACAGCCCGCGAGGGCGGCGCGGCCGCGGCAAGCAGCGAGCGGCCACCGGGGCGTGCGCTGCGGCAATGCGCAAGGCGCGGTTGCCGCAGAGGAGGCGCCGCCCGCCGTGATGCGCCGGGATGTGCTGGTGGCCGCGGCAGCGCAGAGTGAGTGGGCACCGACTTTTAGAGCCCACCCGCGCCCCGCCCCTGGCCCGCCCACCGCGCCGCAGTGCCCCTCCCGCCGAAGCCACCCCCTTCCCCGCAGCCCCGCTGAGGGCGCAAGGATGGGGCGCCCCTCCTACAGCAGCTGCTCCGGAGGGCTCCTTCAGGGGTATTGACCCCCACCAGCACCCCGCTGCTCCCTCACGGCCCCCTACCCTGAACCACAGGTTCTATAGCAAAAATCCTCCTCTGGCGAGTTAACACTACAGGAAGAGACGACAGACTTCCTGAGACTCCATCACCTCCCCCGAGACCACCCATAGGCCCCCCACCCCAGCCCCAGAGATGGCCACTCGACCTCAGATGCAGTGGGACCAGGGCTTCCGCTGTGGTGCCGGCTCACATCCCGCTCGCGATCCGCGCTGAGGCGGGGGCTCTGAACCGCTCGAGTGCCCGGGCCAAAGGAGCGGTCCCTGAACGCCCAGTACCTCCTAGGTCCCTAACTACAGGTACCCACCAAGGGCACAGCCGAGTGGCTAGGGAAAGACAAGCTCGGCTGGGCTACCGCAGAGCTAATCGGCTGATTCAAGGGACGGCCGCTCGAGAGCAAAAAACGGGGCAAAACTTGCGGCAAGTCTGGGCTCTCTCGGTCAGCCACCGCTGCGGCGCTGGGCACGTTTCCTCTGCGGCAGCGCGACGTGGTCGGCGTGCCGGAGGCCCGCCGCAGCCCTCCCACGGCACCCACTCCCGGCACTAGCCCGTCCTGTGCTGGAAAGAATGATGGGCCGAATTATGAGACTAAAGCTCCCTTTGTTTATGCATTTATTTAAGACTGAATCACAATGCGAGGGCCCCAGTGGTACGGAAAAGAGGGAAGGATTTTTTTCTTCATCCACAATCCTTTAAAAGACATCTATCACGCCTTTGAAGAGAAAAGTGTAGAGAATCAGTGTCTGTTCGTTTTCTGGCTGTAAATTGAATTCCTGACAAACGCGTGGGCTGCGAGCGAGCCAGGCGGCCCGAGCGGTGCCGGCTCCCTCCAGCAGGGGCGCTGCAGGCCTCTCTTCCACTCGTGCCCGCCCAGGCCGCCCCGCCACTCAGCTGCCCAGAGCGCGGGCGAGCAAGATTCCGAACATCTGGGCGAAAGGCCGGGACAGCCAAGCCCACCCGGTACCTCACAGTGTGCCAGGGAGCTGAGGGCCACCAGACATAGGAGAAACCGCCATATATGAGCGTGTCACCAAAACGTGTGGCGCAGTCCAGGGTACACCTCTACTGGTGTCGATTCCGAGGTTCATGAAACCAATGCTTAATTTAGCACCTCCAGAGCGCTAAGAGCCAGGGGTGCAAAGACGAAGGAGGAATGGCCCCTGCCCCCAAAGCGAGCTGCTGTCCATCCGGTGAGGATGACACACAAGAACTGACGGTGCTTAAATTTTCCCTTTAATTTCCTATCAGCGTTTTGTGACAGGTTGGCCCCCTCCCCCTAACATGCAAGCCCCTCAAAGCCCGAGCCCAAGTATTATTCACCTTTTGTATCCCCACAGCCTGCCACGG